TTATATCTTTCTATTCTAACACAACTGTCTATTTCTACAATGCACTACACGACAACACTACAGACACAGTAAAGTTTTAGATAGGACTGCACTTGGTGGCATTCAAAACCTGTCAAATATGGAGTAAGAGGAAGATTCCCAACTGAGACGCTTGGGTGCTTTCAGTTGTAGAACCAGTTTTTTAAAAAAAACATTGTTTTTCAGAAATTGCCTTTTCAGCCTTTTTAGTTACATACTTACTAAGTTGCTTTCAGTGTTAATTTATTTTTACTGGATCAGTGTTAGTCTTTAAGTCACAAGTATGAGCTGACAAAGAGGAGTAAAGTCTGAGGTCTTCCATGTTCACACCATGAAACGAGCTCATTCAGTAAACCTGGCAGTCAGGCTTCAGATTTTTGGCATAACCCTCATAAGCCATGGAAACACAGAGTAGTCAGGGGAACTGAAGCACAGCTTGCACCATGCAAGGGCTGCATCTTAGCAAATACAAAGCAAAGCAAACAAAAATATTAGAGTTACTATAGGACATTGGGCCTCATTCAGAAAGAGTGCATATGAACAATTTACACACAAATCTGGAATTTATCAATATTTTCTTATCTAAATTTGTTTGTACTCTATGAACAAATTGAGAACTGCCTCAGGCCATGCATACACACAAATTATTAAGGCCCGGATGTCTCAGAAAGTGTAAATGTGCCTTATACCCAAAAGTATGGAATATTAAAACAGAATACTCAGTCCTCAAAGTTAATGTGCTGGAAGCAGGAAAAATGGGCAAGTGCAGGAACTTGGTGATTTTGACAAGGGCCAAACTGTGCTGGCTGGACGACTGGGTCAGAGCACCTCCCAGACTGCATGTCTGATCCTGTCCGCAGTGGTTAGCACCTACCAACAGTGGTCTAAGGAAGGACAGACAACCGGCGACAGAGCCATGGACCAAGGCTCACTGATGACAAGATGACCTACTGTAGATTAAACTTTTACATTTCATTCATCCTTTTCAAAAGATTCCATTTGTTTGAATCTTTGTTAAAATGGGTGAAATTAGAAATACTGTACATTGTATGAAGAGAAACATTCAGAGGCCAGTGGTGATATCACACCTAGAGTGGGGGAGCTGCTGAATGTGTCTAAACAACGGCAAACCGGGGTCAGAGCTGGAACAACAGGTACAAGAAGAAACGCTGGAAAGTCTGAACATGAGTTAGAACAATCTGGCTTCCTGGTGGGAGGAAACTGCCTATAAAGGAGTGTCAACAATTGTCACTGATTAGGGTAAAGAGTCCGTAGTTGCAATGACACTGTAACAGGAAGTGGTGTCAGAATAAAAGCATGACACCGGAAGCAGAAGAAACAGAATCATGACAAGTATATATGGCTCTTATCAGTCTCTAATGTCATGAAATTGTGCATATGTAGCCAGTGTTAAGTGGTAGCCACCTGGTTCATTTGCAGCCTATTAATAGGCAGGCAGGATACTATATATAAACATTCCGCTGTACCTCCAAACAAGTGTTAAGATGTCATATGGAGCCTTGATGGCCCCCGCCCGTGACTGTGGCAAAAAGCGCACCTTCAGAGGCTGAAATAACATGTTTAAAGAAAATGATGAATGGTTTATCAGTTGTTCCTGACTAGAAAGACAAGTTTGCCTGCAGCCATGCTATTCCCTGGTACATCGTCAATGGACAATCTGTTCTCACCTGATACGTTCTCAGATACCTTGTCCTGTCCTGCTCCTGTCTTCCATGCAACATCTCTAGGCAAGCATATTTCCTTATATACAGAAATGGGGGCATGACAGTATGCTAAGTGCTCATTGCTGGCACCTGCCTGTCATTTTAGAATGATTCTGATTTACTAACATACTCATGGTGGTAAGAACATATTAGTTTGCTAGTGTGCATGTTTCATCCATGTGACAGGAATTTTGTGTGCACACATTTTATGTGGTAAGAACACTTCTATGCACATATTGGTGAATGAGGCCCACTGTGAGCTGGTGGGATGTCACCACTCTAAGCTATGGGCAACTTTCAGTTTGTAACAAATTTAAAGGTGCATTAAATAAGATTTTAAAAATCGTCTGTTAAATCAAGTGAAAATGGGACAGGACATGGTGCCTCTCCACTGTTCTGCCCCCTGTACTGTCCAAATCAGGTGTGGACCCCCAAATACCACCTGGCAAAGGTTATAACAAGTGTTTTTCAGACTGTGAGCCATTTGTTTTGGTAACATCAGTGACCTGGGATGGTCATGATTTTACGTTTGAATTGAATTAATTTGATTTTAATTTCAGATTAATTTGAGCTTTGTGTAACATCCGGGTTTTGCGTTTTCAACTGGACTGACAAATTTACTCATTAGTCAGCTAATGCTGATACTGTTTGTCAATTGCTCCATACTAAAATATGTCAACAACCACCGACGAGATTTATATGAGATTTTGTGCAGACATTCATAGTTGACAATGTCCTAATGCCTGGAGACGCCCTCACTTTTCCTATAGCACCTTGACATTTTGTGGTTTACAGTCACATGTAATGAATACATTTGAACAGATTACTGTCACACTGTTATTCTTTGCTGCTACAATGAAGAATCTCAGCAGACAAACTATTTTTATTTGGTGACTGCTTTGGTTACAATGAGACTGAGCAATGTGATTAGGTTCATTACATGCAAGGAGACAGGCAAAGGTTTGGGAAAGTATGACTGTACTTTTGCCAGTGTCTACAGCAACTTTTAAACTAACCCTAAAATGTTGCTCTGTGAAAAATTTGACCTTAAAATCCTCCTATCCATCTTCATTTAATTTTTAACACCATCACCAGTACAAGTCTATTGCATACAACTAGTATTCCTGCATTCTTACAAGTATACAAAATACAGGGAGCACGCAATTTGGCAATCTTATATGGCTGTTTAACAAAGATTGCACTAACATTAACACATGAGGGAACATTTCCTCAATCACCTCTTGTACATTGAAGTGCTTATTTTTTGCTCTTTGTGGAAAAACAAACAGTATTCTTAGGTGAATGCTTCCCTGTTTCATACTCGATAATTTTGGCACAAAATGTTGAACTTAGTCATGAAGTTGCACTTAAATAAAGGTGCAAACTAAGTAGGACAATGTATTTCATCCGAATCTCTGTGCCTGCAGTCCACATGTCGAAGTGTCCTTGGGCAAGACACTGAAGCCCTGTCGCCCCAATGGTTAGAGCTATCGGTTGAGTTGGCGCCGCAGATGGCTGCCTCAATTCTGCACCGGAAACAAATTCCTTGTGTGTAACATGGCCAATAAAAGTGATTATCCTTTTTATTATAATGTAGCAAGGGACCAATGTTGCACCCGTTGCTGTAATGTACACTGATGTCAGTGGGCTATAGAAGAACAAGGATAGCTTTGGAAAGCTATTAAACATTATCTCCCATTCAATCCACCAGAAAAGGTGTTATGAACACACTCCAGGGAGTAATGGTATGCAAAAATCACCTACAAACCTGCACTGTCCATAAGACTCTTTGTCCTTCTCCTCACCCAGGGCTTCAGCAGGGCTCAGAACCATGGGCAGCTGCCAGCTCCTCAAGGTGGACAGTCTGCAGCTGAGAGGCGGCAGTTCTGCCAGTGGCCCTGCAAGTGTCGGCAGCGACCTTACTGTGCCCCAGGGGTGAGCTCTGTCCTGGACGGGTGTGGCTGCTGCAAGAGCTGTGCCAGGCAGATCGGAGAGCCATGCAACGAGAGGGATGTCTGTGACCCACACAAGGGCATGTACTGTGACTTCTCAGCAGACAAGCCAAGATATGAGATCGGCGTGTGTGCATGTTAGTGGCTCTAGTCTTTTCTTGAAGTAGTCATGACAGAGTAAGTCACAGAAACAGGGGTGTTACACATCCTGTTTCCAAATAAATCCCTTAGCTCCTTAGATAGTGGTGAGTGTTCACTGACGCATGCTGATGCCAGGTGTTCACACAGAGCAACAGGAGCTGGTGAGAACATTACATTTAGTTGAATTTAAGTCTTAAAAAAAAAAAATCACACAAAGATTAGAATGATGAATTTTCAAATTTTGTTTTTCTGACAGACAGCCCACACTCGTTAATCAACCAGAAACTGTTTACCGAGAAGATTAAAATGCTAAGCTCTTTAGAATGGATGAGTGTCTGTGACCCTTTTAAACAATTTTTTTTCCCCACAAAGATTTTTTTTTAAACATGTGCAAATACAGCATAAACAGCTTAACATGAACCAAACCGAACACACATCACACACCTGTGGAGCTGTGAACAGAGTAAAACAGCCTAGTCTCCTGTGTGCAGCTGGCCTGAAACAGCTCACTTACTTTAGGGGTATGTGATGGGATGGCGGCGCAGCCCTTTGTCACCGCCCCCTCCTGTCGTCTGCTCTGGTCTGCTGTCTTGGTGAGATGCAGCGCATCTCAAACCCATAGAGAGGGCAGAAAGAGTGCTGGTATGACAAAAAAGTGAAATGCAGAAGTTCTGGTATTGTGTACCTGCACATACTGCCCTGCTTTGAGCACTTGGAAACACACATTGCAAATATCCAGTTCTGAGAGCACTGTAACAAAAACCACCATCTCCACTCTCAGCTTAATAATCAAAACCCCCAACAGGTTAATAAAATAAAAACCAGCAGGCTTTAAGGTTTTGTTATCAACAAATCAGCATTGTGTGGTGGGGTTGGTCTGCTATGCAGTCTGTTTACTGAGAGACCTGCGGTGGGGAATACCCGGTCTAATTTCATCAATTAATATAGTTGAGATAAAAAGAAATCAGCATATTCACAGTTAATATCAGGAAAAGGTGACAGAAGGATCATAATAAAATGTGGCTTCAGTTCACTATCTGTGTTACCGATTTCTCAAAGCTCCAGAAAGTTCATATGCATAGATCAGTTTCTGTACAGGTACACCCACTCACATTATGTTTGTTTTCACAGATCCTGAATATTCCATGGGAACTGCCATATGCATCTTTCAAGCCCCATTTTGTGTGTACACCAGAGCTACAAATGAGGTTCCAGTTCCCTGATATGCACCCCTTATTCTTTCAGATATGATGGCAGTGGGCTGCGACCTGAATGGGGCCCACTATGAGAACGGTGAAGCTTTCCAGCCCAGCCCTCTCTATAAGTGCACATGTATTGCCGGAGCCATTGGCTGTACTCCTGCTTTCATTCAGAAGCCTGCTGGTCTTTTAGGCCCTGCTCCACTAATGGGCAACACGCCAGCTGGCCTGCGCAGCGGCCAGAGCCAAAAGAAACACCAGCAGGATACTACCTACATGTCAGGTGCGTGTTTATAGAGTAAACTTGTGGAGAAGGGCCAGTCTGTCTCTCCGGGAATGCTACTTTTTGTCCAAGTTAGGGGAGGACATTTCAATACGGCCATTACACATGCCAGAGGGAGGAGTGAGGTGTGACCAACTGTGGTTAGACTGTCAGAGGAAAACAGAAAGATGGATGGTTCCACTTAAACAAGATTAGGAGCACCAAATATTTCACTCTAATGTCCTGTGTAACTTGTTTGTTTTGGTTGGCATGAGTCATATCCCAACTTGTCTGATCTCATTTAATTTCTCGCTGTGGATAAAGGAGCACATTGCTTTGAAATAAATATCTCACTTCTACACACGGTAACCAAAACCTTTATGGGGTTTCTAACAGATCTCATCAGTCCAGCTGAGTGACTTAACAACGAATTGAGTGGCTGACACACAACCTAGGTCTTCATGAAGGGTGTTGTTGACACAGTGCCCTTTAACTGTAATACTGAAAGCTTACAGGGATCCTCCTTTAGCCTGGAAGAAGAACTGTCTGATCCAGACCATCCCCTGGAGTCCCTGCTCCAAGACCTGCGGCCTGGGCATCTCTGTGCGGATCAACAACAACAATAGCAAGTGTGAGATGAGGAAGGACCGGCGCCTGTGCCTGCTGCGACCTTGTGAGAAGAGTGTGCTTAGGAACATTAAGGTGAAAAGTCTGTTCAAGTCTATTCAAGTATTGATATGATTCTATATAAAATGTAGAAAGACACTAATCACAATTTTCACCTCTAGGTGCCAAAGGGAAAGACATGCCTGCCTAAATTCCAGGCAAAGAAAGCAGAGAAGCTGACACTCTCGGGCTGCACCAGTACCAAGAAGTTTAAGCTCACATACTGTGGTATCTGTACAGACAAGCGCTGCTGTGTCCCCAGCAAGTCACACATGATCAAGATCAACTTCACCTGCAAAGGAGGCTCCAACACAGAGTGGAAGATGCAGTGGATAACATCCTGCACATGCCAGAGGAAATGTAACGATCCAGGTGACATGTTTTCTGACCTGCGGTTACTCTAATGGAGCCATGTAAGAAGCCTAGAGACACAGACACAGGAAACAAGCCCTGCTATGGTGGAATATGGACAGAAAAATAGCCATGATTTGGTTACTAAGTTCTCCTCAGCACCAGTGATGTGACAAAAAGTCAAACTCCAAAACCTCATTTTACAAAGAAGAATGGCTGGGATCATTAAATGAAGAAAAATGCTGTTAGCTATATAAAAAGCATTTATGAACACCGTCTTCAGGATGCGTACATGCAGAAACTACATGGATTGTGACCAGTGTAGCAGCTGTAACAGCAGATGCTGACTCATTAACAGTACCTCATAATACTATGATCAGGAGCCTAAAATGTCAAATTGGACCACTCTCTTCCATTCTTTATACAGGAGACTTTTTAATCATTAATTAAACAATTTTGATATATAACTTATAAAGGTATATACACAACAGATTTGGTTGTGTGAAGTCATTTTTGAAAATTAATCACTGCAAAAGAGGCAACCAAACAAACAGTTTTCCGACAGAGCAGACCATCATCTGGCGATGCCGAGTCTAGGTGCATCAGGCATCATTTTCCCCTTGGTAGCATCCAAATGATGGTACTCTTCAATCAGTGAGCTGAGAGAGGAGATGGCCTCTGAGAAGCAGCTCTGCTCCATCCCATCCACATGCAGGTAGTGATGTAAATGAGCCTTAACAAAACAAAGACAATAGAATTTATAGTCAGTCTAAATACAATCAAAACTATCTCACATTTAGATTTAAACTCCTTTGACCCCTCTTTAGAAACAAAAACAGTAATATACTTTTGAAATGTGGTGTGTTCTGTTCTAAAACACACCTACAAAACCTGTTAGCAAAGCTCCCTGTGGAAATTATTCAGGCAGCAGCTTCTGCTGGTCGTCACACTTTCTGGTTAAAATGACAACCAGCGTGGTTGTACCAGCTGTCGCTGACTAACGTTACCGCAGTACAAAGAGGTACTTTTAGCTAAGCTCCATTCCTCCCGCATCATTACTGTAAACATTGTGTGATGGAAATTCAATAGACATTTCCCATCCCTACTGTCTAACCTACCGACATAAGACCCAGAGTTATCCAATTTTGTATGAGGAACTTAAAAAAAAAAAAAAGATTTTGAAACACACCTTCTTCCTGTAGAGCTTGGTAAAGCGCTCTCTCAACTCCATGAATGTAGGCTTCACACAGGTGTTGTTGGCCAGGGCTAACAGGGAGTGTGAGTGGCCCACAGGGGAAACTGAACATAGGCCTGTCTTCCAGCCTTCCTGGTTCCATGAGACAAAGGGCAGTGATGGCTTCAGTCTAAAGCACATACAAAAAGTGCATAAAGTATTAACTGTAAGAAATTCTCAAAGTTAAGTGGTTCTCTCAGCCCCTAAGAGGCCTACTACAGTACATTTCACTGAGGGAAAGTACTGGCAATGGAGTTTTGTACTGGAGAACAAGAGCAAATGCGGCACCACAGGAATCTGTTCATTTGGTCTCATGCAATATGTATTTTAAGACGTTCCTGTTCAGGGATGCAAAAATCAGAAAGGAGAGAATGAAAGTTTATACAAATACCCTCAGCAGCTGATTTCTCACAGCTACAACAGAGGGAACTGTGGCTGGAATATAACAAACTAACGTAGGTGAAAAATCTGCGGCCCTGATCTGAGCGTGGCAGCTGTTAGTAATCTCAGACCTCATCCGAGTTAAGCTGTCTGAGGACAGAGGGGGTGTCAGTATATCGCATCACTCTCAGAGGAGATTAAGGGACTTTTACAGGTTTTCAAATTAAACCGTGCTTTTGCTTACTATCTTTAAAAGTGAAAGAGGAGTTGACTGGCAGACTACAAGATTGCAGCTCCAAAATATGTTCAGTCATAGCAAATGCACTTTCTTCTACTGTCCCTCTCAGACCGTCCATGTGCAGCAAGGCACATCCTTACAAGTTGAAGTGCAGATGAACACAGCTGTGGGTGTGTCATTTACATCATTAGTCTCGGTAAATACACCCTAAATTTAAAAACTGCACTGCCGCAATATTTCCACACCTGAGGATGATTTACAGCAGCTTTCGTCAATATCCCCCTTTGTCGCTGATATAGTACTTAAAATGGTTTGACAGCACTGTCAGTATTATTGTGACTCGAAGACGTACAGTGAGGAACAGAAGTATTTGAACACCCTGCGATTTTGCAAGTTCTCCCACTTAGAAATCATGGAGGGGTCTGAAATTCACATTGTAGGTGCATTCCCACTCTGAGAGTTCAAATACTTCTGTTCCTCACTGTATGTCAACAGGAATTAGATAGTGTAGGTGTACAGCCATAGTAATGCCACAGTGAAGGATCTCAACAAATTGTTGTGGTTAGGGGCAGAAAATATGATTATGTTCAATGATGAGTCTGTAGATTTTTCTCAAGTAATAACTGCAAAAATAAAATGTAGGGGAAAAAAGGTTTTGTCCAGCCAGCTGCCTACAACTTAAAGATGCAAAGTTTAAAATATACGATAAAGAACTAAACAAAAAAATAGAAGACAGACCTTCACATTGGAGCAGCTTGAACCAACCATTTAGCTTGATAAATGACATCAGTCAACAAAATTACTTGGAATGAATTCTTTCAGCACTACAAGAATATGCACGACAAAGCATCCTGTTAAGTTATTTGTTTCATGAAAAACAAAACAGGACAATTTATATTCCAACATGTCAAATGATTAAAATGTGCTCTTAAGAGTCCTCTAGTGGGCAATATCCCTGTGATTTCCCTCTTCCTCTACCTGTCCTCCTCTTTTACACCATGGTCATGCACAAATATGTGCTCTCACACCAGCTTCACTTACAGCTTCTCTTGACAAGGTGCCACATGAAAACAAGTTCTGCAGGCAGAGCAGTAACAGGAGTGCAGAGGGGAGGTGGGAACTAAACTGACCAGTCATGAGTCAGTGCTAGGGGTTTTTATTCATGAGTGTGAAGGTCCTCTTTGGGTCGAGGTGGGTGTAGTGGCTTGTTGCCTGTTCTGATGGATACTGAGAGGGAGGACAATGTTCTCACCTCTCAATGTTCCTGCGGAGGTCAGACACCTGTACTTGGCCCCTGACCATGAGGGCGCAGGCCAAGTAGAGGCTGTGTTTTGGGTCAGCTCGGATTAGCTGGTGGTCTTTACTGAAGGCATCGCTGAACATCTGATCCAGTCTAGAGGATCCACGCAGAGGAGGCAGCAAAGAAAAGAAAAGTTCACGTTATAATATTTACAATACTCCATGTAATAAAGTCATTCCAGATACCACATTTAAATAGGTGAATAGCAGCCTCTGTTGTTTTTCTTCTTCAGCCCAGTGACTATTTGTATTGCCTGCACTGAATGAAATGGCCTTGCAGAGATCAAAGGTACAGTTGAGTTAGACTGGGGCCCAAGCGGACAATTTTTCAGAAAGAAGATTTTTTTGTACCTTTATTTATCCAGAGAAATTCTGCTGAGCAGGCGAGATATTTTTAAGTAACACCCTGCTCTGCATTCATACAGTCCAGTGTTTCCCGTGGTTCAACGCCGGGGGCACTGGCGCCCCCCCCCCCCCCCACACACACGGGGAGGTCATCTTCCTGTACACTTCACTTCCCCTCTCCGAGCTCTATCTTCCTTCTCTAATCTGTTCCCTCTGTGGAGGTTAACAAACAATTATACAGTATATTAATATAGGCTACTTATTTTTTTGTGAGCTATAAGGTTTTATTGGTTGAAAAGCTAAGTCCTCAAGAGTTCGCTGGTCAGCACTCCACTCAACAACATAACCACAGCCTGACTGAAAGTGAGACGTGAACAGTGCATTCAGCATCAAAGCAGCTGTCAGTCATCAGCTCCTGATGTGGGACAATCAGTCTGCACCAGGCCAGCTAACAGCAGAAGTGTGCTGGATAACAATAGTTTTCACATAGGCCTTATATACGCGGTACAAGGGAGGACAACAGTTAAAAAAAAAAAAAAAAAAAAAGTCCCCAGAAAGTCAAAGGGGAATTGGGTGATTTAAACAAACGTCTGTGCAGATTACGCTGCAATAGGTGCTCCAGACAAAATAGACCTGAAGCATAAAACGGGTGATGCACGGCTCTCATCGTGGGTGTGTCGAGCAGACACTTCATGGAGTGGATTTCCAACTGTTGCATGAAAAATGAATCTAAAAACGCATCTGACCTGCAACTGTGTATGTGACTTGCTGTGTAATTTTACAGGCTCCTCGGATGAGTCACTGAGGAGCTTGATTAAATGATTAATTGGTTGAATTGATTTTTTGCTGTGGCAGCAAAGATCTTGGCATGATGGGCCGCCACTGAGAAATATTACCAGCAGAAACACTGCAGTCACATATACTGACCTCTTGGCATTATCAGTCTAACCACTACTCTTTTTTTTTTTTTTTTTTTAGCCAATGTGGTGCTCTGCTGCTCTCTATATCTGACACAAGGCCACTTTGTAGCTTTGACTTGAGTCAAATTGTGTTTTTCCTGTTACACTATTAAACTTGAAGTTGCTACCCTCGCTATCATTTTTATCTCTGAGTAAAATCCAGGCGATCACTGGAGGAGCCTCCTTCACCTTCACTACGGTCAATATGAGACATATATGGAGGAGCTGATGGAGTTCACGTGAACCAAACACCCAGAGCTATGCAGGGGTCAAAATAAATGAGGTAAAATAGCTGCAGTGACAGCCATACAGCAGACCTTCTGGTGGGAACACTGACATCTGTCAGCGTGTACAGAGGGGTCAGGCTGGGCACCAGGTAGTGCAAACGCGGGAAAGGCACCAGGTTCATGGCGATCTCGTTCAGATCCATGTTGAGAGAACCATCAAAACGGGCCGAGCTGCAAAAGACGATAAATGCCAAAAGGTGACGCTTTAACAAATTTTGCTGTACATGCATGGAAAAATCTGATACTATGTTTGCAGGAAAAATAGATTTTCATGATGAGATATCCTCAATGTGTAACAAGTCTTTTGGCAAATACATAAAGTTTGTTTACATTCATTTTCACCTAAAAGTATTATTATTATTTAAAGGAGGAAGACAGCTGTGTGTGGAATGGAGGCAGAGCTCAATTTCCTCATTTTTCCAATGGGACATGCTTCACATTTTGTACTCTGGTGTGATGCTATAGTTCTGCCTTTTTGTTTGTAATTGTTTTCTTCCGTTTAATTTAGTTAGATAAGCAAGTTGCTTGTTTCGAGGGGTAGATAATATCGCCTTTTTGGTCATTTGTGGATCCTTTGGAACTTGGGATATCTTTCACACTGTGCCTTGGCCACCCATAGACGGAGCATAACAAGGCTACAACATGACAGCTAGGTGTGACTTTTCTTTTCTTGACTAGAAGCAGATAACAGCAGAATGACTGTAGTAGATAATGTCCAATAATTTTTTGTACTTTTTGTTTTTTCCACACTGATGAAAATATTCTTTTTGAGGTATTACACATTCAAGAGCCTTTGAGATTATCACACATACTGTGTATTAAGCACAACAGCATCTGTCTTGATTTATTGATTAATTTAAGTATTTTCCTATCAACAGAATCTCTTTTGACTGAGATTCCTCAAGCCCGACAGTTCTGAGGGGGATTAGCTTTGTTTTGAGAATCACAACTGTTGGGCCAACAACAGGACAACACACTTAACAGTTTACTGGAGAATCTTGTTTAATGCTTCACTGATGCTGAAATGGGAGCAGTCACCAATCTCTTTGTAGAGGTCGGTGTGTTGCTCCTTCAGGTGCTTTGCTGAGTTTGTTGTGTTTGGACATACAGTCATGGCCAGAAATATTGGCACACCTGCATTTCTGTCAGATGACGCACCAGTCCTCCCAGAAAATTGTTGTAGTCACAAATTCTTTGGTATTTTCATGTTTGGAATGACACAAAAAGCAGGTAAAAAAGCCCAATCTGATCCATTCCACACAAAACTCCAAACATGGACTGGACAGAATTATTCAAACCTTTTCAAATTCATCAAAAATGGTTGTATTTCCAGCCTGTGATGCTCCTTTAATTTGTAATGAAACTCACCTGTAGCAATCAAAAGGTGCTGACAACATAGAAATCCCACTTGTAACCAGTTAAAATGGAGAAAAGTCGACTCAACCTCTGTGCTGTGTGGACCACACTGAGCACGGAGAAAAGAAAGAAGAGCAAAGAATTATCTACTGTCCCGCGATCTCGATACAAAAAAATGGGGTAATCGCTCTTTCTCTGTGTACGGCCCCAAGCTCTGGAACTCTTTACCACAAGAACTTTGGTCCATAACTGAGCTGGCCTCGTTCAAAGTAACTTAAAAAAAACTCATCTCTTTAGGCAGGCCTTCGGTATTTAACTTATTTCACAGAGATATTTTTAACTTGTTCTATGTTATTTATTTTTCAATATGCAGTTTCACCTCTGTTTTAAAGTGTGTATTTTAATTTATTTCAGTTTTTTTTTTTGCTTTTTCTTAGTTTGTAGCTTCTTTTCACTAGAGTACATACGTTTTGCTGTGAAGCACTTTGTGCCCCTTTCGAGTTGTAAAGTGCTATACAAATAAAGCCTGGACAGTCTCAAGGCTCCAAGTCCATCTCCTGGCTGTTCCTGTGTCCACTGTGGGCAACATTGTCTAGACGTTTACAGCCCATAGTGCTATAGCTAATCTCCCTGGACATGAACGAAAGAGAAAAATAGATGACAGACCACAACGAAGGATTGTATGAGTGGTGGATAAAGAACCTTGATCAACATCCAAACAAATTCAAGCTGACCTGCAGACACAGGGTGCAACAGTGTCAGCTTGCACTATGTGTCGCCATCTGAATGACAAGGGATGTTATGGTAGGAGACCCAGACCTCACTGTTGACACAGAAACATAAAACAGCCCGAGTAGAGTTTGCCAAAACCTAACGGAGGAAGCAACAGTCCTTCTTGAAGAACGTCCAGTGGACAGATGAGACTAAAATAGATCTTTTTGGTCGAGCACATCATTCTACTGTTTTCAGAAAACAATGAGGCCTTCAAAGAAAATGAACATGGTCCCTACAGGTAAACACGGTGGAGGTTCACTGATGTGTTGGGGTTGCTTTGCTGCTTCAGACAGTGGATGTACACTGTGTGTGTATGGGATTATGACATCTGAAGACTACCAGTGAGTTCTGGGGTACAGTGTAGGGCCCACTGTCAGAAAGTTGGGTCTTACAGCAGGACAATGACCCAAAGCAGACTTCAAACAGCACCAGAAATGGTTTCAGACTGGCAAAAGAAGAGTGGTCCAGAATTCCAGTAGAGAGGTGGAAGAAACTCACTGATGGTTACAGGAAGAGATTGGTTTCAGGTATTTTGTGCAAAGAGTGTGCCACCAAATATTAAGCTGAGGGTGTCAGTAATTCTGTCCTGTCCATTTTTGGAGTTCTGTGTGGCATGTATCAGATTTGGCTTTTTTTTCTGCTGTTTGTGTTGCTCCAAAGCAAACAAAAGAAATAAACTTGAGAATTTGTGACCGCAATAATTTTCTGGGAGACGTGGTGCTTTAACTGACAGAAATGAAGGGGTGATAATATTTTTGGCCATGACTTGTATTATGATGGTTTGCTTCTTCAATAAATGTCCAAACATTTACAGACTCATCTTTTTTGGACAACGTGTATAAGACAGACCTCCCTGCTCTCCCTCTCAGGGGCTGATTGTTATTTTAGAAAGCTGCTGCAACTCAATGTATGATTTGGTTGAATTGAGGCTATTTTAATAAGGCTATTGTGGTCTGATCTCATTTTGTGACTGGACTGTGGGGGATAATGTGTAAATTGGGTTTTTTTTGTGTCCACACCTTCTCTAAGGAGAGGCTGACCTGCAGCAACACTGCTAATGCAGCCTTAACAACTGTGACAGCTGTTGCCTTCACACCTGCAAAGTAGATGTGGTAGCAAATAAAACCTGGAGGCATGGAAAACCTGCAGTGCAAAAAAGGAGTGACAGAAAAAGAAAAACGTGTTGGCTTATGCCAAGTGCGCAAAAGTAGCTATTCAACCCAAGTGAACAACTATGGAGAGTTAGGATATACACGTGAGACAGTTCTCCACACGACCATCATCAGAACACCATATGGCACCACAGTTTTCAGGGATATGCAGTGGATACCTTCATTAAAGTTCTACAGAATTAAATCTATGGCAAAAAGCTGTTCTTGTCTGTGGTTGTCACCATACTAAGAAACTTTACACTATGTTGGATTTTCCTTTGAATCTGAATGTGGCATTTAACTTAACTGTTCCTACTCTTAACCAGAAGTGTGTGGGTGTAGAAACTGGTATTGGACTCTTCATGTTAAAAGTCAGGGCGTTAGGACTATTATGAATGGCAACAATATTTTAGATTTGCTAGCACCACAAAAAGAAAAACTAAATGCCATGGGCGCATGCCCAATTGTAAAACAGTGATACAGGCCCCTTTCCTTCAGCACACAGGAGTCTACTGTATACAGTTTGAGCACACACAGTGATACCATACCTGGTAATATTGAGCAACAGGTTGGCCACAATGTTATTCATGTCATCGAAGGGCTTCTCCGCCCTTGTGAGCCCGCCTTGTCCAGAGATGATGGTGCTGTCTCTCTTGATCATCGACCCTGGCTTCCCAGTGTGTGACATACGTTTAATTTTGTTCACAATGTCGACCAATGACTGGAGGAGGACAAGCAAGGGAGAACAAAACATTCTTAAAGTTCATGGTTTAAATGTGTACAGACAGCAGAGATGTTTACAGAAAGAGGAGAAACCTTTCGAAATGCAAACCTGGTTTTCCACAGGTAGAACACAGTCAGCATGCTCTGTGAGCTCTCTCATGGCCAGGACACTGTTGTAGGGAGAGGTGATGACATCATCTTCTGCAGACGGATAGATGGAGGTGACAATTCGACACACCTCAGGGAACTCCTCCTCCAGCAGGCTCAGCACTCTTGTCCCCAGGCCGGAGCCAGTACCTCAAATTCAGTCAGTGAGCAGTAAGCGGCTCTATGATTTTTGGCAGTAAACTCAAATTTGGCTGTTCAATATACTATTTGGTTTTTTTTTCTCCATTGCTATAAAGTGTAAGAAAAAATTACCTACAATGAATTTCAATCATGATTTCGACCACATTAACATAAGTATTCAAATGCAAAAGAGTGACAGGAACATATTTTTGAGCATTTAAAAATCAATAAAAAACAACTGCTGATATATAATGTAGGGCTGCTGCAGTAATGAAACAGGCACACTTCTGCTCTTTAAAGGCTATTTTTTCTTCTCAGACATGGTTATATCTACTGTAGCCTAGTTCACCAACAAGTTTGAGCTTCTCCCATTAGTTACCACCAGCACATGTTACGTTTTAGGATGTGTGCCAGCTTGCATGGCTAGAGAATACAAACATGTATGAAACCTCTTAATTATAATTCCTTGTTGAAATGTTATCCCCACACATTTTGTTAGCTTCTATCGTGTTTGCAGATAGAAGCAATTTGCAGAGTACTGTACTGTTAGTCGTGTTCTCAGTGTCAGGGGACGAGTTGAAGTGGGTACCCCATCCCCTAACCATTGGGGCAATTACTGAGCAGATGACTGCTTGGTGCACCAGAACGAGGAGAAATCAGAGAAATTTCCTCTGTGTCTGTCTCCAAGTGTCAGCCTGGTGACAGACTGCTGACCTGTCCGGGGTGCCTCTGACAAAAGCAAACTGGCTCGGTAAATCTAAGTATGTTGGTTTAAACAGCTGAGTAGTTGAAGAATTGTGAGAAGCAGTGTCTTGCAACTCCAAAACTCTTACTTTAAGTACAATATGTAAAGGCTAGAAGTAAGATTTAGTGTACAAATACAGCACAACATCTTCACCCCAATATGCACAAAATGAATTAATGGAGGTAAAGTTTAAATAACCTTTTTCAGGCACCCATGTATGAATGTCAAATAGTTTGTGCCTTACCTCCTCCCATAGAGTGAATGAGAAAGAAGCATTGCAGACAGTCACAGTGTTCTGCTGCCTTCCGCAGATGATCCACTATCTGCTCCCTGTAGGCCAAACCATACGTCATGTGTCCAACCGCCCTGGACAAAGAAGAAGAGCAGCAGAGCAACAGCTGAATGGCTTGGTTAATTTCTGAACTTACTTGTTTTGTTTTCTTTGCATGTATGAATTACATAGGTTGTTACCAACATCTGATGAAAATTTCATGTCAACAACGGCTTTAGAAATACTGTATATTTACTGAGAAAAATGGTGACGTGTTCAAAACTTATTTTACCTGCTGTGTGTTCTTGCTGAGTTCATGTATGAGGAGAAGTATTATGTATACATTAAATGATTGTTTTTTTTTTTTTGTTCAGTTGGTGTCAAATATAAAAAAAAAAACAAGCAAAATCTTCCAACTCAACAAGTAGATAAATTAAGAATGTTATCATGAAAAGTGAAAATTGCATCTTACTCTTCCTGAGGTTTCTGGTATGTGTATGATTTTACACAGGGACTGGCTTGAACAATGATACAAATATACTTCATAGATTTTTTTAATAATGAATGGTTAACTGTCAAACTGTAGCTAAAAAGACAATAATAAGATTTATTAGATTTAATTTGTTAGGGCTCATGATCACAATCTAATTGTGGTGTGATCTGTGTGGAGGTGTCAAATATTGAATGAATGAATGAATGAATGAATGAAAAAGGGCAAATCTATCTGCTGCATCTGTCTAAAAGGCTGAAAAAGACCATCAATATGCTGTGATAAGAACACTTCCCTGTCTCATTTAAACTCACCTTAATTATACTGAAAATCCCACTCCCACTGTCTGATCGACAATTCTACTTGAATTGTTAACGACATGTTAACAAGCATGTCATTGCAAAGAGGCAGCGTTTCTGTTTACAGTGGCTGTCAGACCAAGAAAAATCTATAAAGGGAATTTTCACAGCAGCCCTGTAAAGAAGCTTGACTGACGTTTCCCCCTAAATTACACTATATGGGCTTGAGAAAGGGGCAAAGCGGTAAAGCAACAACACACAACCACTGAGGCTACTGAGTCACTGGTGTTCATCTGTTACATGCTTTGTTATACTTGTGATTTGAAATGTGGTAGCTAATAAAACAGATTTCGCGCCACACATTACAACTACACAACCTTGGATTGCGAGTATAATTCGTTCCAGCAATGTGCTCGTAATCCAAAGCACTCGTATATCAAAGCAAATTTCCCCATAAAAAATAATGGAAACTCAGACGATTCGTTCCACACCCACTTATCCATTATAAAAGTGATTACAGTATTACAAAATACAGTATGAAGTAAAAATAAAACAAATTAACCTACACTTTATCTTTGAAAAGAATCATGGCTGGCATGAGGGGCCATTGTTGCAGTACAGATATTGACTATACGAGTGAATTACGAGAACCATCGGCTCAGTTGTGACGTACGTCAGGTGACGCTCGGCACACAAAGCATACGTACTACTCGTATTGGGAGACCTCGATCGTATATCAAATCAAACTTTTTTGCTCATCTTGCAAAACACTCGCAAACCGGGTTATTCACAATCCAAGGTTCCACTGTATACTGTATGACTGCACATGTGAGTGACTGTAAAACAGTTAAAACATGTTAAAACGATGATATACAACAGCTGCTCCTGTCCATGTGAGCAAATGAGACGGCATCCTGTTTGTGTCTCTCACCAGTTGTTCCCTGAACCCGACACATCTGTGAGGAGCTGAGTGCTGTCGAACACTTCTCCCAGCGGGCCCTGTAGGATCTCATTGACCACACCCTCCTCCATGTCCACCAGCACCGCCTGTGGAAGTTAGATATGTGAGTATACGGCCAGCACAAGGCATATTATACACTGAGCACATGCCTTTGTACCCCTGGCATCATTCCATAAATCCCCTTTGCGACGTCAACCAGTAGATGCCAGACCATTCATTATAATAGCTTCAACCCTGACTCTAAAACTAGCTGGTATCCATGTGAAGACCTGGAGACAAGAAACATTCTTTAAAGCTGTAATTGGCAGAACTTACTCTGGCCTTCAGATGCTGGATTCTCCCGCCAACACCACAGGCTCTCCCATCACTTCTCCTGGACACCAAAGTGCACCAATTATAAAAGGACTTCATTTGCATCATTGTGGCACACACATACCTCAGCCCATGCAGCAGTTACTTGGAGGAGGCAGATGTGATTACCTTGAGTCCACATTTCGGAAAAAGCTACTGAGAGCCTCATCATACAGTCCTTTCTGAATTGGATAAAAACAGAGGTATTAGGAATGCTCTCAGATTTTGTGGTAGGTGATTAAAAAAACATCTGACTTTATAATTCAGGGTTGGTTACAACACTACATCAGTTACACTACATCCTCATAGTTATTCCAACAATTCCTAAGCATTACAATTTGTTGAAGCAATGAAGTCATGTTCCTTAAGCTCATTATTTAGTTTGGTGATTACAATTTTATCATTACGGTAACTTATATAAACAAAAGCCAGACCTACAAAAATATGGATTTGTTATGACTCTGGCTGTATGTCTGCTGCAGAATTTATTTGTGACTGATTAGATCCTCCCTGATTGATATGAATTTAAACATGTAAATGGATAAAACATTTGCTCTGTGCAGCAGATAATATATACTTTTCAACGCTGACGAGGGAGGGATATGTCGGAGTGAATATAGTGTAAATAAGGACAGATGAGAGCAGAGGCTATTGTGGATGTGGGCCACAACCTTCTGATGTCAACTGACTGTCTAATTCTTGTACATACTCTTTTTTCGTGGTATATATTTGGACTAGCAATAGCTAGAAAAGCACAGACATAACAACATAAATGAATGCTTGCTCAATTACTGTTATTAATTACACCTGTGTTTTCCTGTTATAGCTAACGTCAATATGTCTGCTGGTCTATGGTCTAGTGTAGTAACGTTAGCCTTACAGTATGCTGTCCGCTGGATTATGTTTGATTTAGCTAAATTACCTAGATGATCAGGGCAACATTTGTTGCTGTATTGTGTAACGTTATGTATTTGCACTTACTTTATTGACATGGGCATGTTCCCGCAGAGCAAGATCCCAGAACCTGCAGCCAACCTGGTTACCAGCTTGTCCAACTGAAGAGCACAAACGTGAAGTTTGGTATACACCGGTGACGGAAATGTCGCATGATTAATATAACAGTTCGTTAAATTAGTCGTAAATCGACTCGTGAACAAGCTGGGCAGCTAATAACTGGCTTTAAAGTTAGGAACGGTTACTTAAGGGCCGAAATGTTAACATGATCACAAAACAGCAAATTCACAGCGAACACAACTAGTTGCACTCAAATGTCACTCACCCTGGACAACAACTGATTGCGTCATGGCAACGACGACACAGAGAAGCTGGCTTAAAGCATACTTAACATTAACATCTGTCTACAACTACCCATTAAAGTATTCTCGGAGTCTTTTTGAACGTTTCCTTAGAATCGCGCCACAGTTGTGTTTGGTCGAGTGGTGATGACGTGCTTACCATGGCAACCATAGGCGTGTGCATTAAACGGAAGCTACTGCCCCACTGTATACCCGAGACTTATAGGCTACTGAAACAAACAAACAAAACAACAACAACAAAAAAAAAAATAGGCTACTGGATCAATTCATGTTAATACATTTACTGATTCTATTGTTTATTTTCTATTATTTAAAATGTACGTACTTTATATACATATTCATTTATTTTTCTTTTTAACAAATCTAAATCAACATTTAATGTATTTTTTGTAACCTACTACTCAGGTATGCCAAAGATTTTTAATAACAAGGTTAGTCTGCTGTTATTTGTAAATGTATTGTTCAAAACAGCAAACAATAAATACATTCACATTTTAAAAGTGACATTATGAAATAAGTGGAATGGAAATGTTTTCAAATTCATGTAGCTTAAATAAACTTTTTAAAATGCTTCCTCTCCTTAATACAATGCTGATTGTTGATGACCAGTTTGTGGAGGCAGTGAAATATATTCATCATAACAATAAACATCTTGACTTTGACCGTAATAGTCATGCGGACCCTGGAACAACAGCTGTTAAATGATGAATGAAGGAGCAAGAATACCCACTCACTGATACCTAAGATACAAAAAAGGAAGTATCACATCACATCCAGGACATGCATCTATTGAGTTGTGTTCTATTATCCTCCTCTATTTGGTTCGAAAATTCAACTTATTACAGAGTACAGGGCAGTGTTCCTGTGTTTATCTTAAGTAGCTGTCAGGATTCTGTCCCACCGGCTTCTGGTCCCAGGCTTTTATTTTGAGTTTACTTCCTGTTTGGTACACCTCAGTTTTGAACTCTTTACATTAATCAGCTGGTATTGTTTTCACCTGCATCTCATCACCCAGACTGGCAACACCTGCTACACAAGCATATAGGCAACTTCCCCACGCCCAGAAATGCCAGATTGTTCTAGACCCCAGCTATGACTTTCCAGCATTCTTTTGCTGCCTGATTATCTTGTTCTGACCCCGGATTGCCTTGACCACCGTGTTTGCCTTATTCCCCCCGATTCTGATTGCCTGCTGTGTACCAACCCTCTGATAGCTCCTCCCTGACCTCTCTCTTGTGCATCTCCTAGCTGTAGATGTTTACCGGCACTGATCTTGGACTGTATTATCGACCTGATTTTGATCCTGGACTTTGTACTGTTGTTTTGAGTGTTGCTAGTAAAAGACTATTTTCTACCTCAGTTCATCTGGCAATATAATTGACTTCACTACAAACACCATTTGGCAGCTTCACCCACCAAAGCTGACAGTAGCAGTCAACAGTATAACAACACAGCAAGAGCAAAATGAGCCACTTCATAACAAATTTTCCAATGAGGTTGTTCTATGTCAGCATGATTCACAAATGATGGTCTGTATTAAGTACATGATGAGGACCAAACTTCTAGATCTTTTAGTCTGAATAAACAACAAAAAACAATCCAGCTTTATAGGGATGTACATTTTTTATTTATGAGGAATAAAACTGTAAAAAAAAGTTTTGAACATAAGCTTGTACAAAACATGATTATAAGATGTGGTGGAACAAAGAATGCATATACACCACTTGTGCATCTAAAGATACACTGTACTGTAGGTTCCTCAGAATGATTCCGCACCTAACATCATATTTTCTTATAAATGATAGATTTATGGGTTTCCTCTCTGGTTGTGTTTCCCATTTTTAAATTTGAAAAGTTTGGCTGTTTTTTGGCATGAGACATTTTTTTGTAAAAAAAAAAAAAAAAAGAAGAAATTAAAAACAGAAACAAGGACAAACATCTGAAGAATGAATGGTTATAGTCATCAGAAAGAGACTTTTAATGTTTGGTCAGTGTTGTACTGGGCATAGCAATGCTGTTGACAAGAGTGTTATGCTGCTGGACAGGTTCCAACGCTGACTGCTCCACTGACCAGGACAGCTTTGCTGAAGTTTACTTGACTCTTATTGATGGTCAGGTTCCTCATACAGCCCACGTAGGCTTTCCTGGTGGCGATGCGCTCTGGGAGGAAAAGATCTGAAAGGAGGAAGGATGTAAAGTGATTACAAAATGGGGCATTATTAACACAGGAGAACATCTTGAGAAGCTGTGATCCTGACTCACCTGGAGCTCCACCGATGAACACTGGCTTTGTAGTATCTGTGGAGGTAGGATTCAGAGGTCCCACCACATGACTGACCTCAGAGTCCACATCAAGCTGGATAACATTTGCATCTCGGATCACTGAGATCAAGCAAGATAGAAAGCACCAGTTTAGCCAGAACACTATTCAGGGTCCTTAATCATATTGTAATAAAGATTTAGGCTATTATTGTCTGTTTTCATAGTGAAAACAATCTAGTTTTATTCAAGCATACCTCAGCCCATAGAATCTATAGAAACTGGACACCTTTAAATACCTGTTTATTTAGAGTTGCTTTTGTTTGGTTTTAATTTTGGTAATTACTCATATATTTTGTTTATGTGCCTTTCTATTGTCTTTTTATTGTGGACAACTGGAGTCTACTCTACAAAGACGCTAGTATAAATAAAGTATAAATAAATTAACTTTACTTAGACACGAGTGTCACAAATGGATTATCTGTGGTATTATTATGCATACACAAGTATATTCAACAGTTTGACCTGTTCAGACTGGCAGCAAATATTGGCCACATTTTAAAATTTAGTGTGATGTGTATAACAAAGACAATGAATCTGAGCAATAAATCAGTCATTATTAAAGTTTTTCAACTTTTAAGTGTTGCTGTCTTTCATCATTTCTTAACTAATTGCTGTTGAGTGGTAATAAGGAAATTCTCACCAGTGATTTTGTACCAGTTGCCAGCACACAAACCCTGTCTTGGAGACACCTTTGTGAAGAACTCATAGGTCCCATCATTTACAAGAACCACAATCTGAAAACACACATCGATACTGTATGCATGCTTTTGAACAGATGATATATGTCCAACATAACCTTGAATGTGAATAGTTGTTGGGATAACTGTGCCAATGCCTTACCGCTCCTTGATGAATATACAAAGTGAAATAGCCCTCTGCTGTGGGCACATGAAGTAGAAGCCCTGATGCCACACGGGGGCGTACCTCCATCACCAGCTCAAACCTCAGGCCCAGGCTGTGAGATTCATCTGAAAGAGTGAAGCAGAGACAACAAGATGAAGTGAGCTCTAGGCACCTTATCTATTCTGGACCCTTTTGCAACTGTGTTTGTCTTTCTCTCAACTCATTCAACAGCTGCAGCTCAGTTCCTAACCCCCTGAGCAGAGACAGTTTCACCACAGCTGCACTATGGGTATTTTGTTTCCTTGCCCAACCAAACCATCTTCTGCATGCACATGGGATTCTAAAAAAAAACAGATGAGCTTGTGAGTTTTCTCAAATCTAATTGGCTGTGTAATGTAACATATGCTTAGTTTACAAACAGTCATGGATGTATGCAGTGTTATTTTTTGGGCAGAAAACTGCACAAAACAGATTAATAGATGTACATAATTTTCAGTTTCCTAGTCCCAGTCTGAAACACAATGAAAAATAGGTCTCTGCTTTTTGTTTTACAATAACAGAATACAGTACCAGAAACATACCCAGAATGACATATCCTCCTTCCTCTGAGAAGTATGTGCCTGCCTCTGAGATCCCCTCAAAGCAAGGGGTGACCCCAAAAGTTTCTGTCGCAGTGGACAGCCACTGTCCATTCAGCTGAAGGTTCTTCAAACAGCCAGTGAAGCTGTGTTCAGAGTTTCTCTGAAGGGACGCACATGGAAACACATATCAGAAATGTAAATGAACTCTATGGGGCTGTTCTTAAAAATCCCAGGAAGAAAGACATGGGATTAAAGTTGCTTTATTTAACATCTGAAAGACAAAGTAACTCATTCTTCTCCAACAAATAAATGGTTGACTTTTTAAGATATACAACACACCCTTGACCAGTTCAATACTCTTGGGGGGTTTGCTGCTACAGCCTTACTTGCTTTGGTATGACCACTGGCTTATGGTAGCTGGGGGAAGATGCAGCAACCACCATCAAATTAATTAATGCCATTGCGGTTTGTTGTGCTGTCTACTTTCGATGCCAGGAACTGTGTGCGTTCACAAACTATCCTCTCATTTTTAGGAAGAGGCTCTCTGGTTTTATCATTCTGAAATAATTACAGACTATTTGGAGTTATAATGGTGCAAAGCTAATCTAGAGGTACTCAGGATTAAACATTAAATGGCTGAAAATGAGCAAAATGAGCAGCCATGGGCTCTTTAACCTATAGAGGGTGAGGTAAACGTTCTACAGGTGAAAGGCTATGTATTTCCTTCAAGAGTTCATATAGATCTAAATATTTGACCTATATTTGACAGATGACCAGAAACAGGACTTCTAATGAACGCTAATGTTGCAATGTCTATTACATGCGTAAATAAGCAACTGTTTGCTAATATGTTAGCTGTCAACTTTATGAGGTGCTGTGTTTCTAGAAGGCAGGTGGGCAAAAAAAGAGATCAATGAATACAACTTTTATGAATTAGGATGCTTTCCTGTTGAGCTGGGTGTCTGATATGGCCATATGTACCATATGTTCCAGAAGACAAGGTTATAAATTACACAATTTTGTCAGAGGGTACTCTTTTATTCAGCAAAGACAAAACACTCGTGTTTCAAATGAGTTCTGCTGCTTATGATTTAGTATGAACTGTCATCCAAATAAACTTTAACCCATACCTGAATATTCTTCTGGGCTGTCCCTGGAGGAACTCCTCCAACATAGAGGTGACTGCTGACACGCCAGGAGGTGTTGCTTTTTAGCGCTCTGTCCTCCAGCACTGTGAGCCCATCTATTATTAACCGCCCCATATTCCCATCACGGATTAAAATCACCTTCAGTAGGAGAACAGAGGGGCACAAATTGTTGACTCACATGGATATATACATTATTAACAGATAGAATAAGTTCATGAACTTACATTGTGCCATGCACCATCATTGTA